GAGGGCTGAAATGAGAGGTCACAGGGGAGAGTTACTATGGTAATTGAGTAGTATCACCAGTAGTTTTGCTCTTATGGGCATTAAAGCACATCATAATAGACAAACAACAGTGGTTAAAGCAAGCAGGTAGGATTACTATGTTCTTTTGTCAGAAGTATATAATGTCTTGTAGTCAGTTTTAAAGACTTCTCAACCCCCAAATCCACCCAGCAGTCACCTGCTGAGTAATTTTGTATGCCTAATCTCCAGCCCTTAACTACAAGCTTTCTGCTAATTTGAGGCAAATGGGTATTTTTGACACTAAATAGGGCAGTAAAGAATCCCTGACCTAGAAAAACTCCATTCCGAGGCACTGAGAACAGCAAAATATTCTTTCAGCATCCTTGGGAGACCTTTGCAGTGACATAAAATAGCTTTGACTAAACCGTGCAGCAGTCTTCGATTAATGGTTTGGAGAAACTTGCTGAACATCCCTACTACAACTTCCCCCATAAAACTTGTCACTTCAGATTGCCATCAGCCACCACAACAATAATCATTTCATGCCTATTGCTAATTGCAAGCACAGCTGAGGCTCAGCGGGGTGCTCTTGCACAGTCCCAGGCCTTTATACCAGCCTCAATCTGTTGTATGGCACTTGTTCACACACAAAAAAACTACCAGTAAAGGCAGAAAGAGGCAGAGTCACAGGTTCCTTGTAATCCCTCTGCTACCCTGCTGACAACCCAGCCCTATAAGCATTCCTGGTTTTGTCCCGCTCTTTACAAAAGCTGAAGTGACCTTAAGCTACTAGTATGTAAGCTTTTGAATGCAGAGCACAGCTCCTTCAGGTGCCTTAAGAAGCAGTGTTGCATCTGGCTTACGAGATTCTGTTTGCAGCACCCCTGGGGTGAGCTGCGGCTTCCTGTAACATGGAAAATATGAGTGTGAACTCCAGGTTCATGGCAAGGAACAGGAGGTCAGGCTTCCATTCAGCTCGCACCAAAGAAGACGGGGGTTTGCAGATGTTCCTGGGTATGTGTAATGACACCACCTCCCGGAAAGCGCAGGAACCCAGCACGGGGGGTTTTTTTGTTGGTGGGTTTGGTTTTGGGTGTTTTGTGTTGTTTTTTTTTTTCTTTGAAATGTGCCACACTCAGTGTGTTACTTGCAGATTTATTCATATCAATTTTTGCAATTTATATATTCAGAGATAAACTTGCTATTTCAGCAACTTATTGATCATGCATTTGCATTCAAGAAAGGGGAAAGGAAAAAAAAAAAAAAAAAAGAAAGAAAAAAAAAAAGAATGAGCCAGCCTATGGCTCTGGTTGGGGCATTGCATGGGCAGCCCTCAACCCAGCCCCATGGTGTGCTTCTGCTCCTCTAAGGCCTGTCCAGGAGCATCCCAGCTGCCCATGGCCACCTCGTCCCCCCAGGTGAGCAGCAGCAAAGAGGAATTTCATCCCTAGCTGTGCAAATAGGGTGCCTGCTTACTGATCCTGGGCTCTGATGCCATCCTAAGAGCTTTGTGTGCATTTCCCCAGCTGTTTCCCAGGTCATGCTGTGCTATCCCTTGCCCCGTGCCCTTTGAGTGAGTTCAGATTATCCGTGGGTGGCCGGGAGGGATGTGAGGTGCCCTCAGTAATGTGTGCGTGGCGGGGAGCAATATGTGAAGCTGGGGTCCGTGGAGCTGGGAGCAGTGCTGAGGTTCTTTATAACCAGGTGTGATGAGTTTTGAGAAAATACATCTCTATTAGCTACTTCAGTGTGCCCATGCCACAGCTCAGCTGGTGCTCAGACCCCAGAAATGTGCCTGAGATGTGTTGTGGCCCCGTGGCAGAGCCTGTGGGCACGTTTAGGGCCCTGCCTGCTGCACCTTGTGCATGGGGACAAGCCCCGAGGAGCCCCTTGGCCCTTCTGGGAAGGGCAGAGCCGCCGGGTGTCACGCCAGGACCGCGCCGCGCTCTTTTGTCTGAAGCGATCACGTTCCCATTCGGGAGCATTTGGCTTTGTTGTTGTTTTTTTTTAATAATATAATCATATGCAAATGTTATCCTCTTTGGTGGGTTAGTCATGAATCAGAGGGCTCGTGCGTCTTATAGCACATCAACACTAGTGCTAGCTAAAGGGAACATTTAATTTATGGGCTAACTTATTTTTATGAATATGCAGGGCTGAAATTCAGCAGTTGGTGTGTGCTCTATGAAGTGACGTGACGGTTTTGTGTATCAAGATCAATGAATTACACTTTGTCTTTTTTTTTTTTTTTTTTTTCATGAAGCAGAAAGTCTTTGGAGTAACTTAGCCCTGGGGAGGAGCGCTCCTTCCACGGTCCCGAAGCGGCTGAGCCCATCTCCCCTCAGTTCAGCTACCAGAAACACAACCAAACGTTTAATTTAGCTGAAGCTGAAGGTCTCAGAGCGGCAGAATTGTGTGTGCTCATTAAAAGGCAGCTGGACGTTATTAGGACTGATGGGAGTTACGGGATGTGCTGCTGTGGCGCTGCTGTGTGCGAGCAGCTCCCTCAGGTGCCTTCCCTTGGCCCTGCTGAAGTGGGCACAGGTCACGGCGTGATCATTTCGGTGTCACCTTGCTATAACCTCTGGGCAGAAAGTGTTATTTCTATTTTGTATCTGTAGGACAGCAGTGCAGGTGTGCACGGCACAGGGCTGGCAGGGCTGGCAGGCCCGGCCCTCATCTCACTCAGCCGGGGGAGGCAGAGGCACCCAGAAGGAGGCCATTTCATGGAAGATGAGAGGCAGCAGTGGAAGGGAGAGGGCCTGCAACATACCTTTGCTTTGTTCCTCTGTGGGTTCTGATTTGAAGACCCCAGGCAGTCCCTTTGTGACCCTCCTGGCTGGCCACCTGGAGCGGTCGGCCCAGCACAGGGTCCCACTGGGCCTTCCTGGCTGCTCTTTTGGCCAGGGGACAGCTAACCGTAGCCAAGCTTGATTTCTGTCACTGACAGAGCTCCTTTCCTGTCCAAATTAGTTTTGTTTGCGCTCTTAGCTCTTGCCAGACCTCTGTCCTGGAGGCAAGGGGCCAGTCTCTGCCACAAGTTGCACAACGTGTAAGCCTCAAGCACAAGATCACCACTTGACATTTACTTGGTGACTCTTCCATCCCTTTATTTCCTCCATTTTATTAAGATCTGGAACTTATTCTAGAGCTGGCAGTAGAGGGGCATCTTCACTGAATTGTCCCTTGGCCCAGGACTGGCTGCAGTGATTACTGGCAGAGGCCGCCCGGCCCTCTGCTGTCATCCTCCCAGCAGCCAGGAGAGGAGAGGAGCTGCCCTCCTCACCCTCCCCAGCCACACAGTGAAGTCCATGGACTTCTGGAAGGGGGCTGTGGGATGCAGGAGCCCTCGGTGTTGCTTCCCTGCCGGTGCCAAGCTCAGCCCTGCAGCTCTCCCTCCGGGTATGTGTGGCCTCGCTCTGTCCCTCTGTGCCCGGGGCACAGCCCCCTGACAGCACCAAGCAACAAACAGCAGCAGCTGCTTCCTCTGGGTGTCCAGGTCCCATGTTTTATTTAGGTTTCACTTGGCTTGGCATGCCGAGGCACAGTTAGAACAGCATTTGTAGCAATAAGAGATTAATACTGATTTATCATCGTGACCATTCACGATGACCAGGTCCTATACCACTGCAATACCCTTGGTAATGCCATAGGCTGATAAGGCACGCTGCTGTTACACCATGAAGTACCACAGTGGGGTTAAACCCTTCCCCAGACAGCGTGCGGGGTCCTGCCGGAGGGCAGCAGCCCCTGGCTGTGTTGCCTTATGGTCGGGTAATCTGTGCTGAGCCCCCGTTGGTGTTATGCTGTGTGCCATTAGCTCGGACACACGGGTTTGCCTCGCTCAGCCTCGTGTCAGCTCGTGTGCTCAGATGGCAAATGCTGGTGCCCAGGAAAAAAAGGAGTGGTGGAGAGAGGAAAAATACCTGAGTTTGACAGATGCAAGGTTTTAGGCTTGCTGGGAGGAAGCTGTGTTGCAGACTAACCTGGATGGGGCTCGATCAGCGTTTTTATAAATTGATCTGTGGGCTGTTATTTCCCTTTAACTGGTTCTAGATAAATTTCCGCAGCTGTGCAGCACAGGTTTTGCTCTGTGCATATGTAAGAGTAAACCAGAGCGACCAAGCGAGATGCTGTGCCTGTGCACAGAGCCTGAGCCCACGATGGGGTTCTGGACCCGCTCGGGATTCGGCCGTGGTGCTGAGTGCAGCAGGGAGGTTTTGTGATCCCCCGCTGCACGCAGCCCCTGCTTCTGCCTGTCTCGAGGGCTCGCTCCTCGCTCCGTGGCGTCAGACGAGCAGTGCCAGCCCTGCGTGAGCAGGGCGCTGATCCGCAGCCCGCCGGAGCCTTCCTGCGCTGCAGGGCTGGCAGTCTGCTGCCACACAGCTGCAAGCCTTTTTCACAGGCAAGCAGCAAAATTTCTAGCCCCTGGAGGGGCCCTGCGAATTCGGCAGCTTGCAACGAGCTCATTCGCTTGCTGCTTTTCCATCTTTTCCTAACTGCGAGGTTGAAACCAAAGCGTTTCCCGCGCAGTGCAGCACCCGTGGGTGCTCACACCTGCGCATCCTCAGCCGCAGCCAACCCTTGCCCCGAAGCAGACTCTCCCCGTGGCCGGTCGCGTTTGATTTCAAGCCGGTAAGTAGTTCGAGTGTGGTGCTAAAGGCAGGGCTGTGCTCTCACTGGGGCGGGGAACGGGTTAAAAGCTGGACCAGGCCAAAACTCCCGCCACGGCTGCCAAGTCAAGTCAATGGCAAAACAGGATTACAAAAACCTGGCGGCGCCGCCGGTGGCCGGGACCCCTCCGAGTAAGATTGCTGTCGTTGTGAAAAGTTAGAGGCTCGTGCATGGAAATTCTGCGTAAAAGAGGGTGCTGGCCTCCCCCCCGAAGCCTGCCACGTCCCATTACCGGGGGGTAGCTTGGTCCCGCCGCATGCCAGCGTGTGCAGGGCACGGTGCGCGCACGTAACGTGGTTGCTGGAGAAGTCCTGTCTCTCTTGCAGCAATGGTACACCAGCTCGATGAATGTCGTCTGCACCTGGCTGACGGACCGCATGGACCTGCAGCTTCACATCTACCAGCTGAAAACCCTCATTAGGATAGTCAAGGTAATCGCCCGCCGGGTTTTTCGCGAACGCCTTGCTGCTGGGAGGGGCGAGTGCATGTGTGCGGCGTGTCCTCCTAGGCAAATAAATTCAGCCCTTCACTGAAATGCTTCAAAATGAAGATTTTTATCAGATGGGTAAACAGGAACTTAAAATGCACAGAGGTGCAAAGTACATGTGTAAATAAGAAAGTAACTACCTGCCTGAAAAAAAGGGGAAATATTGTTTATTCAGCCCTACCTGTACAATAAGCACGCCAAAATTAGCCTTTTTACGGTCGATCACACCCATGAACTCGTGTTAAAATGGGTTAAATCAAACCAGAAGTTTTTTAGCACTGTTTTACTAGAAATATTTAAGCCCAGCTCTGGCTTGTGATTATCATCAGAATGCAAATGAGGATTGTTCTCGTAGTTAATTGAAGTTGTTTCCTTTACAATGGGTGTGTATAATCAACTCTAAGAGATCCCAAAGGTGAGATAACATACCCTGAAAGTAACATTTTTTTCCACGAGTGCACGTGTATGTGTATATGTGTGTGTGTGCGTGCCTTGGACTAATGATAATTATTTCAGTGTGAAATCACAGTGGTTTACATGAAATAATAAGATCACAGAAGGGGGTAAATATATTTTTGATCATTTTAGGTTCTATCTAATGCTTTTTTGTCTAGTATTTTATAATGTTTATGGTCTTGTGCGCAGTGAACACATTGAAGGCATGAATAAATTAAAACTGAAATGTATTAAATGTGCTTTTCATAACTGAAAACAACAGGCACAGGCAAATTATTTCTACTTGTCAGCTAGCTGAGGAAAGCTTTCTTCCTTGTGCTTTATTTAAACCAATATTACTTTCAGAAGCAGCTACAACAAATCCAATGACTTTCTGAAACAGTAGAACAGCAAATAGTTCCCATGCAGAGCACAGAGCACAATTACATGAACTACGGGACCAGAGTTTTTATCACACAGAGTCAAGAAGTTTTTAAACATAAATTCACATGCAAGGAAATTAACCGTGATAACAAGGGAAGTACAGCTAGCTGTGGAAATGCAACTCCAGTTTCAGAATCAGGTGAAGAAAAAGAGATTTAAGAAATACATGCCATGTGCTTATCTTTATACATGAACAATTTTCTCCCGTATCCCGGACTTAGCGTATTTAATCCCAATCCTGTAGGTAGGATTATTTACCACAGAGCGTTCCAGGAACGTGTAATCACGTCCGCAGCTACAGGCGATAGGCATTCTGCTGCGTGAAGAAAAATAACTTCGCTTGCAGGCAGATGAATGCATCTAAAGCCAGGAAAGTGAGTCCAATAGAGCCTCCCTCTGCTGCTTGGATGTGCTTTTAGACCCCAGCATACGTTTTTTAAAGCTCTCTCTGGTCCTCACTCCTCTGAAGCCCCTGAGCAGCCCTGCAGCCAGCCCACCTGCAGGTCCCACAAAGGCAGGGCTGTCAGACAGACACAGTTTGTTGCTCCGAGGGGGCTCATGGTCGCCCTAGAGGGACCCCTGCTACTGCACAGAGGCTCTGCACTGTGCCCAGTGGGGCTGGGATTTCCTTGGCACCCCAGCCTCTTCCGTGAGTGGCTCCCAAACCAGCCTTGACCTCTCTTCTGTCTCCTCCTTCCCCCTGCTTTAGAAAACGTACCGGGATTTCCGATTGCAAGGCGTGCTGGACTCCACCCTGAACAGCAAAACCTACGAGACCATTCGGAACCGGCTGACGGTAGAGGAGGCCACGGCGTCGGTCAGCGAGGGCGGAGGGCTCCAGGGCATCACCATGAAGGACAGCGATGAGGAGGATGAAGAGGACGACTAGGGGAGCTGGCCTGCAGGACCGCCCGGGGCTCGCCTGGTGTCCGTGCATGTACCTCGTCTGTAACTCAGTTAGCCACATTAGGAATTTTTCTGTCAGCTCTAAACGCCCATGAGAAGTTTACCAATACAAATGCCATGTTAGCTGTGTGGTAATAAGGTTAGCACCTCTCTTTGATTCATTGGTTTCCTGGTTTCATATCTATATGTTCATAAGCAATATGGAGCACCGTTGTTTAATACTGTTACTGGAGAACTACATAGAAAACATACTAGGTGTGTCCCTGTTATAATTAAAGTTTAAACAATGCTTCATTAATGTACTGTATATACATTGATGGTAAATTGTTGTGAAGATGAGTGAATCGAGTCCTTTCATTTCTTTGTTTCTCTTCTGTGGATGCCAACTGCTTAAAATTAATTAAAAAAACAGCTTTGTTTTTAAAAGAAAAACGAGGCAATTACAAATGATTTTTTTGTTCTCTCTGTTCATTTAAAAAACAGAAAACAAACAAACCCAGACAGCCGTTTGAATCATTCTGCATCCCTGTTAATATATCAGGCTCTTCCCTTCAATATGCAGTTAACTCCATAGAGGCTACATCCCAGAGGATTAGTCATTCTAATTGCCACACCAGATTAATCCTATCATTATGGATATATCATGCCACATTACAAGTCCAAAGCAGTTGTTTTATGTTGACGTTTGCTCCTCTAAATGTTACATTTTTGTTCAAATTTCCAATAACCGTGTATGTACAAAGACAACTTTAATTACAATCTTAGACTATACAAATGTGTTTATAATAATATATTGAATATTTATTTCGGTAGATTGTAACCATAATTTACAATTCCTCTGTTTCACAATGGTTTTTATATATGTCATGTACATTGCATTTTGACCGGTAACTGCATGTCCATCAGTCCCCCTTCCAGAGCTTTTACTTTCTGTGTAAAATAGTGATCCATCTTGCTTTTTTTGCCTTATACAAGCCGACAGTTGTAAAAGTGTGAGAACTGTGGCTTCTCAATAAATAACTATTCAGATGTCCTAAGAATAAATTATGGAGTCTTTTTATGTCTGCCTTAGAAAAAAAAAAAAAAGAAATTACAAGCTGAGATGTAAGAGCCCCCACCTCTCAGAATAAAGGCATTTTCTTTTCTCATGGGTGTTTTTACAGTTTATTAATTTAGAAGCTGGTTTCCAGACTTGTTCCCAGAGGTCAGGCTGGGCCTGGACCCTACATTCCCCAGGTACAGGGGCACGTGGGCTGTCACCGCCCCGCTCGTTTCCACCACTATCTGGGACTGCACCCTGTCAGCTGGCCTTGGGCATCTAATTGATGGCCTGCTCCGGTACAGCCCCGTTATTACACGGCAATTAGCCTTACCCGACACTTGCCTTCTGCAAAAAAAAAGGGCTTCAGTTTTATTTTCTCTTCTCCCAAAGAAGCCGAGGGAGGAATGGAAGGAAGGGGGGGCTCTGGGAACAGCCCGGGTGGGGTGCTGGGTCCCGGGATGGCTGCAGAGCCGGGAGCTCAGTGCCTGATTTGGGGACCCTGGCAGTTCATCCCCTGGCTCTGGAGGTGCCCTGCAGCCCCATCGTGTACGCATGGTGAGCCAAGGGCATCAGCGGGCTCTGCTCTAGGCGTGGGTGGTGGGCACATTTAGCACCCTTTACATTGTGTAAGCCACTTGATGCACGGGCACAGGCAAGCTACGAACCCTTACTGTAACCCTGCAGATCACATCTTGGTTCCTGTCTCAGCCCACAGTGCTGGTAGGCAGAAGCACTGACAGGGAGAGGAGCCTCTGGGGACCTCGGCAGAAATGTGGCCACCGACACAGCTCTTCCCCATCCTACAGCTGTGCAAGTGCTCGGTCCTATGGCCCCAGAGGAATGAAGGCAGCAATTTAATGGTTTAGGCAGAGTTAAGTTCTCTGAAACCAGGGGAGGTGCCTCTGCAGGCCTGTCGGTGGGACATATATAAAGAATTCCTATATCCCGACATCTCTGTGCTTGGAGCCTGCAGCCACAACCAGAAGCCGGGCTCCTGAGCTATGCATATGCACGCTCACATCCTCATCTTCCTCTCCCTCTCCTGCCCCAGACACAGATACGACCTGCAACACCTCCAAGAGGAGGGCACTGGGAAAGCCTCAGCTGGGGTGGGCACCAGGGTGGGAGCAAAAAAGCACCGAGGAAAATCCAAATTGGTAGCTCTGCTCCCCGTCAGGCAGAGCAGAGCTAGAGAAACAGCTTGACTCCGCTCTGGAACAGGCTCCCCCTTTTTTTTTTTTTTTTTTTTAACATGAAATATTTATTGGGTGAAAACACAGCCCACTTCCACCTGCCACCTTTCAAAATAGTGAGCCCTGCTCAGTTTTTTGAATGAAGCCGTGTGGGCGCAGCCTTCGGGAGCTGAGCCCTGGCGGCGCACCACCAGCACGCCGAGGTGCCGCCCTGCAGCGGCGGGGACGGCCGCGCTCCTCGGAGTTTCCCCTGTCAGCAGCAGCGACCCTGCAGCCCGTGACAGCTTTTCACATGGCCTCAGACCCCAGCGAAGCAGCTCAGGGACTCCGTAACAGCCCTGAGGCTCTGCCAGGCCTGACCGCGTGTCCTAAGAGAGGCAGCATTAGGCAGATCGTTTCTTTTAGGGAGTTTGGACCCAAATGAGCGTCGAGTTACAAACTTTGGTGTGAAGAACTCGTGCACGAGTGATGCTGCAAGGCAGGATTGAACCTCCCAGTCCTGCAGCATGAAGCCAAGAGAAGGAGCCTGGTGCACCCCCAGCCCCCCTGCAGATGGTTACGTGGTGCTGGCAGCCCAACCCCATCCCCTGCGGGTGCTGCACCAGGAGCACCGAGTGCCCTCTTGGTTAAATCCTGCAGGAATCACCCCAAATGGTCTGGTGCTGCCTGAACAACACAAATCTGGGTTTACAGCCCCCTCAGCCACATGATATCCTTTGGATGGGGCTCGGGCTCATGTAGGGCAAAGCTACACCTCGGGCAGCTTCTGAAAGGGTTTGCTGGTGGCCGGGAGCACTCTGGCAAACCCTGCCGAGGAGCCGCAAAGGTCTCCTCTGCTGAAGCTGCTGCCGGCTTCACTTCAACCCGCTGCTGCAGTGGAACGAGCTCCAACAGTCAAAGGACTTCCTGCCAGTACAACTGCACCTAGATGAAGGATCTGCCAGTACAGTTATGTCAATCAGTTTGGGGAAAAGAGGAAAATTTCATTCCTCTGCCAGCAAAATTTTAAATGATAGATCAGGCCAAAACTTCTCTCATATTTACAGGGAAGTCCAGCGAAAATATCCTTTTTTTGACAGACTTACTTAAAGCATGTGGCATGGAGACTGAAAATGCTATCAACTATTTGACTGACAAGTGTCAGCAGCTGTTCATCCAATTTGTTTTATATCTCAGCAACTAACAGATTCTTTCCCCTCTGCTGTAAAGCATGTCTCCTGGCCCATAGGCATCTTAGAAATTGCTTTTCTGCCTCTCTGGTGACCAAAACGTCAAAAATATTAGGAGACAATTTGGTTTCAGAAGCATAAATAGGCATGCAGCAAAGCAAAGATGATTTTGTCAGTGTTCAGTCTGTGTTCTTTAAAAAAAAAAAAAAAGTCACGGCAAACCTAAGGCAAAAATTACTCCTCGAAGCTTTAAAAGAAGAAGCTAAAGCAAACAAAGCCCCCAGTAAACCAGCACAGGTTAAACCAGCAGCTACCAAGGGAAAAGGGCTGGTATAGCGGCCAAACGAAACACAGCTGAGCCGTATCTCACCCTCTGCACTTTGTGAAGTTCAAGACTGCACCAGCACCACCGCCACCAGTTTTTATTGTAAAAAATGCTCCGTGGTGTCAGGAGGCAACAGAGCCTCCACCATGCCAAGCTGAGGCCAGCTAAACCATTCACAAAAACCAGCCTTCCTCCTCTTCACCCTGCAATGCCTCCAGAAACTGTTTGGTACCTGACTGCGTATGATTTAAGCTACAAATCCTGCAGGTGCCAACAGCTCTGAACTTGTTTGGCTCGGAAGCCTGAGCGACACCTCTCTCCGGTGAGCTGCGTCCGGTGGCATTTCCTCCTGGCCGAGCGCATTTGGGCTCCCGAGCTGAAGGCGCTAAGTGGCATTTTGCTCAGCCTCCCCAGAAGATACATATTCCGTTTCAAGTTGTAAATCTGCATTTGTTGTAACTATGCAAAATATGGGAGAAAAAAAGTGCAGAGATTATATGCAATCTGCCAGCAGAGTTGTGTGCCATGAGGAAAATGCCTCACAGGTCAAAACAAAGAAAAACACTGAGCAACAAATTAGTTGCAGGCAGTAGCTAATATGGAGATCAAAAGATTAAAATCAACATGCAACGATGAAATCACTGGAATAATAGGAGCACTTAAGAAGATTAAGTCAATAACAGAGTCCAGTAGTACAAAAATAAGATTTTGATTATACCGTAAAATTTGATATTGGGAGAGCAAAAGCAATTACAACCACGACATGCGTCGCTCTCCCCGCCTTAGACCATCTTGGCTCATTTCCTATGCAAGGAATACAGTTGTTGAAATAAACAGAAATGTTATGACTCGAGCGCTCGCTTCAAAAACAAACCAGGTGGTCAGATCAGCCTGGGGACTGACAAGACGGGGTCTGCAAAGCGAGGACTTGTTGCCGATCCCGGAGGATGCGACAGCTGGGGGGAACAAAGGCCGCACCGTTTAGGAGCGCTTTCGGCAGAGAGGGGGCTCCGAAAGCAGCTGATGTCGGGGCCTGTCGCCGGCTTTCAGCTGGACAGGAGAGCCTGGGGGAAGGAAGGAAGGAGGAGAGAAGGAGCTCGGAGGCTTGAAGTGAACAGGGCTGGGAATGCCGATGAGATATTGAGCCTGGTATTTCTTCCTATCCCGCTGAACCAGCGAGGACTGAGGGGTTGGTCCCGTGACATGCTGGGGGCAGAGCACACGGTACCCTGACCCTCTCTAGACCCTCCCATAAGGGTCAGGAACATGTCCCACAGCCCCCTTCCAGTGCCAGGGCTCATCCAGCCACACAGCCCAGTGGGCTAATGCTCGCTGCCATGCATCCACCCTCACTAACACCAGCAGGGACAGATGAGGCAGTCCCTCGAAAGCATGCTGGCCATGGGACACCAGCCTCATCCACAGACCGTGGGACCAAAGACACGTAGCTTCACCCAGAAGTGGCCACCTCCTCACCCGAGGGGTCTGAGGGCCCTCGGTGGGCACCACAAAGCTCTGCGTGCCTTCGGGAGGAGCCCGGGCAGCTCGCCGGCACCGCAGAGCTGACGACTCGCCTGGGTTTCTCTCTAAAGTGTTTTTTCAGCATCACTAACTCCAGCCCCACCCCCGTCCCCACCCCAAAATCACAAGCTAGGCTCATAATTAAATCAAATAAATAAATTATCAGCTATTTTTATAGAATTTGTGGGTGTTCTTGAACATTCAGGGAATACTTGGGTCGCGCATGGAAGTTTTTTTCCTGCAAGAACTAGGTCTGGCTTTTTAGTTTGGGCTCTGATCGTTGGGAGGATTTTTTAGTGGTTCTTTCAGATCGCATCTTCTGGGGCTGAAATCATAAAAATACAAAATAAAATGAAAAAATTAAAAAGGGATTCTTGCATTGAGGGGCTCTGGTTTGTCCTGATGGAAGGAGGTGACATGCTGCCGTCCACTGCTCCCCCAGTACCTTGCAGACCGCCGCGGAGTCCTGTTCTGCAGAGAACAAAGATGTCTACAAAAATGATGTCCTTCAAGCAAAGATAAATGCAAACATCAAACAATATGAGCCGTGGCATAGCCAGAAAAATGGCAAAACACTGAGTGGGGAGTTGTAAAATGACTGGGAATGGCAAATGGTATTGGCTTTGGAAAGGTTCTTCCTCTATTTGATTTTTTTCATGGAAAAAGCACATACTTTTGGAAATGAGACGTTTTTCTAACTCATTAAGAAGAGAATAATTCAAAACACGTGGGGTTTGTCCCACTTATTTTTTTTGGCCATCCTTCTTTCAAGCAAAAAAGGGAAGGAATGGGAACGCAAAACTGAAGTGGGCTTCTACCCATTTTCACTGCTTTTTGCTCCTTTTTCTGAAATGTTTTCAGTAGGAAAGTGAGAACAAGGCCATCCCCCCATTATATTCTCCTTCTCTACTTCCTCCCACCTTTTCTCCTAAATAGAAAATAAGGGGGAAAAGAAAAAAAAGAAAAAAACACACAACAAAACCAGAAAAACTTGAGAGCTCCCACTCTTTCAAAACGAAGAAGTACACCACCTCAAACCAGGAAGAAGGGACATCTCTCGGGTTTGGTTTTCAGCAACGAAACACCGCATCGCTCCATCGCTGCGACGCGAAGACCGGCTGCTTCCAACAGCGAGGCAGGAGAACTGCAGCCGCCCCTTCAGCATTTTCTCACTTGCCTTGGTGGCCGAGGGGCTTTGGGTAAGATGAGGACCCTGCTGACTCTTGAATACTCCCAGACCAGAAGCGGTCCAGCAGCAGGACCTGGTCTCTCTGGTGAGGTTGCCATGCCTCGCAGGCAGGCAGCGCCTTGGGGGCACAAAGCCCGGTGGGGACGGAGCCATCCGCTGCCATTCCTGTTGACAGGCAAACCAGAATAGGCTCTGGCTCACTTTCTCCGAGCTGCGGAAGGAAGAATGAGCAGAGAAAAGAGTTCATTCAATTGCTTCTGTTTGGCAGCTCTGCAGGACTCTGCGTGCACAGAAAGGGACGTGGCAAGCAAGGAGGTGCCGTTTTCAGACTTACATAAACCAGCCTGCTTGCCATCGAGGCACTCCTCGGGCAGCTCGTGCCACGGAGCCTTACCGGTTGCTCTTCAGTACGGCTACATTTCAAACATTTCAGGCTCTTAAAATGAGACACGGGTTAAAAATGTCAGTGCTGCCCCTGCCATCACTGACAGAGTCGCACAGCAGAGCCATGCAGGGACACTGGGCCACTGCGTGCCCAAAATCCCGTTGTGTTTGCTCCGGGCCCCATTCAGTGCTCCAAAACCTAGCTCCACAGTACAGTGCTTCAATACGCCAATTTTTATTTTTCTTAAAAAAATAATTAAAAAAAAAATATCTGCCTACGTATACGCAGTGATGTGTGCATGAGTCAGTGAACGGGCTGAAACAACAGTCTGCAGGGACTCGGCGCCTCTGCTCCAGCCCAGGTGGCCTCAGCCTGCAGCAGCATGGTGGTGGCAGCGGGGTCACCCCAGCGACCCAAGGATCCTATGGGGTCACCCCACCGACCTCAGGGCCCTATGGGATGGGAGGACAGCCCGGGAAGGCTGTGTGCTGCCCTGTTACACAAGGTACCGCGGTTTCAAAGAGGAAGCAGGCAAAGAGGTGACAGCCTGCCTTACCCCAGATCTTCCTCTCACAGTTTCCCCATTCGTTGCTCACCATTTTGTCCAAAAAGAGCGTTTCTGAGGGCTGCAAACTGAGCTGCAGAGACACACCTCAGGCTGCCCCAGTCACCACCTTGCTCCAAGCCAGCCCTGAGCCCTTGGTCATGGGGCCAGAGATCAGGAAGCACCACGACCCCACTCCTGAAGCCGCCCCTGGCTTGTAGAGGCAGCCCCATCCCGACTGCCTGGGTTCACCCGCTTGCCCCTCAACTTCTGATATTAAAAAAAAAAATGCATTCTATATACACACATGGATATACAAAAGAAAGCAGCACAGAAATCAAAGCCACCATTTCGGAGGGAGGGAGCCCGCAGCGTAACGCTAACAACTTTCGGCAGCTTCCACTGGGGAGTTTAAGCAGCTGCCACGTTAAATAACCAGGAGGAGCCCAAAGTTATCTCCCGGCGCCCCACAGCCGCCCAGTGCCCCCTACAAGGGCCGAGGGGACCCGGGGATGGGGGGACCCGTGCGGGACAGGGATTTCGTTGAGCACCGGGGGAATGCCCAGCTCCCGGCCGCCCCGTTGGGGCTGGTGGCAAGGGGCAGCGGGTCCGGGCCCCCTCCCCACAGCCCCAAACCCCCACTCCGGGCTGCGGCACGGCCCCTGGGAGCCCCCTGGCTCGGGGGTCCGGTTATCGGAGCCTGGAGGGGGAACCCCGGCTGGTTTTCGATATCAGCGCCCCGGGAGGATTTGGGGCTGGGGTCGCCGGGTGCGCCTTGTGCCCAAGGTGGAGGTGGGCGCTGGGGTAAAAAAATGGGGGGAGGAAACGCGGGGGGCGCAAGGGATCGGGGAGTCCTGTCGGGACGGGCACCCGGACTCGTTTTTTGGGAGGAAAAATGAAGAAAAACCTGCAGAAGTGATTACGGGTGCGCTGCGAGCGGCTCTGCGGCACGGTGCTGCCAGGAAAAAGCGGCCCTGGGAGCATCTCCCTGCCGCAAATGCCGGGGGGGGAAGCTGGGGGGCGAAGGCTTCCAGCCCAATCGCCCCAAAACCTCTCAAAGCCCCATCCCGAAGCTCCCAGGGCAGTGCTGCGGCTGGGGCAGCCGTCCCAAACCCAGTCATTTCCACCACGCTTGCCGGCACAGCACAAGCGGGATCGCTAGAGACAGCCCCCAGCTGTGCCCAAACCTGCGATTTCAATTAAAACCTGAGCTCCGCCGGGCGGCTCGGAGCACCCGGGCACGGGGGGGCTCCCTGCGGGGCCGTGGGAAGGAGGAGGCCCTGGGGCTGCTGCTGGGGGGTCCTCCCCGAGGATCCTCGCCCCTCCCGGGGGTCTGCAAGACCCCCCTGGTCCGGGCCAGAAAGCAGCCGGGCCAAGCATCGGCAGCCCGGGCAGGGCGAGGGCGGCGCGGGGATGCTGGCAGCGAGCTCCCGGCCCCGGCTCCGCAGCCCTCTTTTATCCCGCCCGAAATCATCTCGTTTACAGAAAATATTTGTTTGCACTATTAGTTGGTACTGGAGTTAATTACTCAACGTGTGAGCGGGGAGTAATATGGATAAAAGCAGCCCCAGTGTTTATTGTGTGGGTGAGCTGTTGAGCGGTGCTTGAATAAACTGCAATTAGGGTTAGATAGAGATTAATTAACATGTGAGTGGCAAGGTGTAAAATAGTTCCCAACCCTCCACTCAGTATAATCTGCAGGCGAGGAAAAAGAAGTTTGTGGAGGCTAATTAAATACTTTGCTAAAGCCGGCGAGCCCCGGGAGCGAGCGGGGAGCCCAGCCGCCGCCTGCCCGCTGCCCGGCTCGGCACGGCTCGGCTCGGCACGGCTCGGCCGGGCTCTCCGGCAGCCAAACCCCGGGTGTGCTTCGTGCCGGTGCGCTCGGCATCGCCTCCCCTCCAGCTCCCCAAAAGCGGGGGGGGTTCCCTCGCTGCCCCGCTGGGAGGATTGGCGAGGGCCGGGGGTCCCCCTCCCCGGAGCCCACCTGCGGTGGGAGCGCGGCGCAGAAGGGGGGGGGGGGGGGGGGCTGCTCCCTCCTCCTTCTCCGTGGCTCCCCCAAATTCCCAAATTAGTTTCGGCAGCGTGTTGTGGTTCGCAGGTGACAAAGCCTGCCTGCAAACAGCCGCCGGCGAGCTGCCCCGGCGGGGAGAGGAGGCGCGGCTTTGTCAGCGCCGCACAAAACCGCCGAATTCCTCCAAACTTTTCTTAGGCGTGCTAGGGAGGCGGAAAAAAAAAATAAAATAATAATATATCGGGGCCTTTTCATTGCTTGCTTTACCTCTGGCCAGGCTCAATCTTAAACCCTCCGCTCCCCCGCCTCCCCCGGCTAATCCTCCCCTTTATTTTAGGGACGCACAAAACCAGGTTCACGCAGCGCTATAGTGGCTCCGAGTGAAAGGAGCGAGCGCCCTGAATCGCCGGGGAAAATTGCTCGGGGTGAATGGGGCCAGGAGAGGGGCGGCGGCCGGGCCCCCCCAAAACCCAGGTGGGCACGGGGCTCCCCCAATTACCGCGTCCCCGCAGCTGAGCTGCCTGCGAAGCCTCCCCTCCCGCACCAAGTCGTTTTAATTAGAGGCAGGCAGGGGAGAAACCCCGGCACCCGGGCGCGATAATGCGGAGCCTCCTGTTTGGAGAAGGGGGGGGGGAGCCGGAGGGGGGCACGAAAAGGATGAAAAGGGGACGGGAGACGGGGAGAGCCGCCCGCCCGCACGGCCGGAGGAGCGGGCAGCTCGCGGGGTGACAAGCCGCAAAACTCCCGATCGCAGCGCTCGGCTGCCTTTTTTTTTTTTTTTCTCCCCATTTTCTTTCCTTTTTTTTTTTTTTTTTCCAAGAAAACCCAGCCCCGGACTCGACTCCCTCCGCGTTTATTTAAGGCTAATCACCAGCTACCCTGCGAGGGGAGGGGGGTGGAATTAAACTTAGTTTAATTAACATTAATACACTGTCCTAATTAATGGGTTGGCTATTAATTTATACATGCTGGGGAGGCTCGCAGATAAGTGACAATTTATTAATTATCTTCCAGCTCGGTTGCAACGGAGCTGATTGCAGATGGGTTGCCAAAATAACTCGAGCATGGTTGCGTGGTAGTTGCTTTAGGAAAAAAAAAAAATCATTCTCCCCCTTCTTAAAAAAAAAAAATAAAAAATCCTCACGCTCACTCCGAGTGGCTCTTCTAACCCCAGCAAGAACTGGAGCACTCTTTTCCACCCAACTTGTGAATCGCACTTGCCTTCTAATTTGCCACATGCAAAACGATTCCTCTGCTTTGCAAGTTGCTTTTTAAGAAGGGAGAGAGAGAGAGGGAAAAAAAGAAGAAAAAAAAAAAACAGCTCGCACACGAGCGATTTGTGCGTCTTAAACTGGAAGGAAATTGTGCGTGGAGGGGGCGGGGGGGGGCTCCTCTTCCTCTCCCTGCCCCAGCCCACCGCGCTCCAGCCCGGCGCCGGGGCTCGGGGAAGCTCCATGGTGGCATCCCCGTGTCATTCTGCTCCGAGTGACTTCATGTGATGTCAGCCTTAAATGTACGAGACGGGGAGCTGGCGCTCGGGAAGATGTTTGCCGTCAAAATGTGACTGTGGCCGCAGCGCGCTGCTCGGATGCGTCTCGCCGGCGCTAGCCACGGCTAGGTAGGTGAGTGGCCACCGGTCCCGCGGCGACCCCCTGCCCCTCGCCGTGCCCCCCGCCCCGGCGTCTCCCGCAGCCATCGGCGGGGCTGAGCAGGGTGGCAATGCCTGGGGGAGGGTTTTCTTTTCTTTTTTTTTTTTTTTTTCCCCTTTCCTTTCCTTCCCCCCCCCCCCCCTTTTTTTTTTTTCTTTTAAATACTAACAAGGTCTAGCTCGCATGTTACTTTAGCGCGTTCCGCTTAATGAGCAGTAATCTGGTACCCTACGTGCCATTGTTCTGGGATATGTTCATTTGAATGTAAATAGGGAGGGGGTGCCGGTGGGGGGGGGGGGGGGGGCGGGAGAGGAGGGGGGGGAAGAACAAGGTGCTTATTAAATTGATTTGTCTCCTGGCTTTTCTGGAATGCAGAGCCGAGCGCAGGAGCGAGCGGCTGCTCACCCCGAGTCCCCGGGCGGCGCAGCGCCATGGCGAGCTCGGGGTCGCTGGAGACGGTCATGCCTTCCTCCTGCCCCCGGCACGACGGCAGGGCCGCCGCCGCTAACCCCTCCAAGAGCCTGGCCTTCTCCATCGAGCGGATCATGGCCAAGACGTCGGAACCCAAGCCGGCCTTCGAGCAGAGGCAAGGCGGCCCGGGGCCGGAGCCGGAGCCGGGCAAGAAGCCGCTGAGCCTGTGCTCGCCCCTGCCCTGCGTGATCCCCATCCCGCCGCTGGGCTACGAGGTGCCCTCCAAGACTCTCCTCAACTACTCGGAGCTGTGGAAGAGCAGCCTGCGGGGCGGCGGGGGGCTCTGCAAAGCCAACTGCGGCGTGTGCTGCAAGGCAGAGCTCGCCCTGGGCCAGCCCAGCGGCCGGCTCATCAAGCCGCAGGTCATCCACCAGGCGGGGGCCGTGCCGGCCGCCCCCCGCTCCCTTTACTACTTCAATTACCTGGACGCCGCGTACCACCCGGCCGACCTGCTGCACGGACAGCTCTTCCCCGCCGGCCTGCTGGGCGCCCCGCCGCCGGGGGGGCTCTCCGCTCACCAGAAGCTTTTCCTGCTGGAAAACGCCAAGCTGGCGGGGCTGGCGGCCGAGAAGCTGCCGCCGCCGCCTCCCCCCCTGGCGCACAAGGAGAGGCTGCCCGGCCACCTGGACCAGGTGATGAAGGAGGCGGCGGAGCGCGGGGGCCCCCCCAAAGGCCACGCCAAGCTGGGAGGCGGCGGGGCGGCGGAGGGCAAGCCCAAGAACTTCACCTGCGAGGTCTGCGGCAAGGTAAAAAGGGGGTTGAAAAGGGTTCCCGGGGGGAGACGAGGCTCTGAGGAGAGGGATACGGGGATGTGGGAGAGGTGTGTGTCCCCCCCCCAGGTCCTAACCTGGCCGTGCCGGCGCTTCCCGCAGGTGTTCAACGCGCACTACAACCTCACCCGCCACATGCCGGTGCACACGGGGGCCAGGCCGTTCGTCTGCAAGGTGTGCGGGAAGGGCTTCCGCCAGGCCAGCACCCTGTGCCGGCACAAAATCATCCACACGCAGGTAGGTGGGGGGCAGCCGGGCCGCGGGGGGGGCGGTTACCCCTCCCTCCCAACCCCCTGCACCCCTCCCCGCAGCCCCCTAACGGGCCTCTCGCCCCCCGGTGCAGGAGAAACCCCACAAGTGCAACCAGTGCGGGAAGGCGTTCAACAGGAGCTCCACGCTCAACACCCACATCCGCATCCACGCCGGCTACAAGCCCTTCGTCTGCGAGTTCTGCGGCAAGGGCTTCCACCAGAAAGGTGAGCCGGGCCGAGCCGAGCCGGGCCGGGCCGGGGTCGGGTCCCCTCGCCCATCCTTATGGGGACGAAGCGGGGCGAGCCCTGCCCGGCCGGGGGTTGCGAGGGGCGCGGGCCGAGCCGCCGCCGCCGCCGTTCCCAATTACTTTCTCCCCGAGCCCCGGGCCGCATCGCCAGGGCCCGCCGGCGGCTCGTCCCTATAAATGCTTTTTAAATGAGAGGTGCCGGGCCCCGGTCCTAATCCCGGGCCCTCCATTTGCCGCGGGTCACCGCGCCGCCCCTGCCCCTCATTTGTGCCGTGCCGGTTGCGCGCTGCCCCGCGGTGATGCGGAGCGGCTTTGACAGGGGGCCGGGGGGGGCTGGGGGCCGCTTCCTGCCGCCCCCCCCTCACCTGTGTGCCCGGGCACCCTCGGGTAACCCCCTCGTCCCCCTCTCTCCTCTCCCGCAGGCAACTACAAGAACCACAAGCTGACCCACAGCGGCGAGAAGCAGTACAAGTGCACGATTTGCAACAAAGCCTTCCACCAGATCTATAACTTGACTTTCCACATGCACACCCACAACGACAAGAAGCCCTTCACGTGCGTCACTTGCGGGAAAGGATTTTGCAGAAACTTTGATTTAAAGAAGCACGTCCGAAAGTTGCACGACAGCGTCTCCAGCGCGCCGCCGCCGCCGCCCCGGGACCCTGCGCGCAGCGGGCAGAGCTAAGGGCCCCTCTCGGCCCCGCTCCCCGGGCCAGCACTATTTATCCGAGCCAGCCTTTTGCTTCTGTCTCTTCCCCAGCGAGCTCAGCCGCCGGCAGCCATCGGCCCCGGGCCGCAGCTGTACATACGAGGAGCCCCCCGAGCTGCAGGAGGGGCCGGCGCCAGGACAGCGCTCTTTATACGTGTCTGTAAATCTCCACTTTAAATGTACGCTCGAATAAGTGAGGAATATATCTATATATCTAACCTAGCCCGGGACAATAAACCGGCCCTTCGTAGGTGTCTCATTTCCCTCCTCGGCCCCGGCTCCGAGCCGGGAGCGGGCGGCACGGCGCTGCCCGGGCCCCCCAGGAGCGGCGGGGAGGGCCGGGGCGCCCCCCGAAGGGCCCGGAGCCCCCCCGAAGGGCCCGGCTCGTTCCGGCGTGTTTCGGCCGCTCCCGAGTGCCCGTCCTTCCCTGCATGCAGATGAAACGATCTCACGCTTGCTTTCCGAGTAATGACCCAAATTAAGAGAGAAAACACAGACCCTTCAAAGCGCATTACATTAATCTAATCACTCCCAGCAGGCCTCAGAAACTCTTTTTGATCAGAATATGGATAATCAAGCACTTGGATTACACTAAATATCCCCTTCTCGGCTCCCCCCTTCCCCTACCTTTAATATGCAAGTGTCTATTCCGGCCACGTCGTTAGGAACAATATTATCCTAGCGGAGAAACGAGACCGGGGTGGCCGGGAGCGTGCGTGCTGCTGGGGCCGGGCTTGCCAATGAAGAGGGGAAGGAGCGAGCCCCAAGTGCCCAGGGACGCCGTGCCGGGAGCTCACCTCTCCCCGCTTCGTTCCGCGGCAGGAGGCGAGGACAAGCGCAGCTCGCCGCCGAGCGCACGGACGGGAGCCGACCCCTCGCACCGCCTTTTGGGATTCGTTACCGGGCGGCGACGCTGGAGCCCAGAGAGCTTGGCTGGCCCCACAGACCACCGCGGGGCTTTCGTCCTTGCTCGGCTTTGGGATTTTGGCGGTGCCAAAAGTTAGAGTTTTGACGCTTCGGGGCCGGGTGAGGCGCAGGAAGCGATGCGCAGCGAGCCCGGCACCGTGGTACCGTTTGTTGGGGGGGAAAAAAAAAAAAAAAAAAAAAGAGATTTGGGGAGAGTTTCGGGTTAAAAAGGAATTAAAAAAAAATAAGCAAGCCCCGTCGCCGTAAGTCACCGCGGTTGGGGACCTGGGAGGGGGCTGATCCGTCCCCGAGGAAAGGGGCTGCAGCTCGACCCCAAGCAAAAAGCGGCCGCCGGGACGGAGCGGGGCGTGCGGGGGGCGGCAGCAGCGCCAGGGACCCCCGGGGTGTGCGGGAGGGTCCCGGGGACAGCGGGGTGTCCCCCGCCCCCGGGGCTGCGGGACGGGGCCGAAAGCCGAGGAAGAATGCGGTTTTCTTTTTTTTTTTTTTTCGGGGTTTTCGCTGGTGTTTGCGGAGCTGTCGGAGGGGCAGCGGGAGCCTCGGCGCAGCTCGGCGCGCTCCAAAGGGCAGCCCCGGCCGGTCCTGGGGGGAGTTTTTTGTCCCCTCGGCCCTCTCGGGGGCGGCGGGCAGAGCTCCCCGGGCCGGCCGGGAGCGGAGGGGGGAGCCCTGCCCGCCCCCCGGCTCCCCGCACACACCCAGGCGGCGGATGGCGGGGGAGGGTGGCTCTGTCAGACACACACACACACACACACACACACGCCAGAGACTCCAATTATCCTCTCCCTCACAAGATGTTTCTGCTGTCCACGACTGCTCACACTTCAGCACTCTTGCCAGCAAGCCTCACTGCGAGCACAAAACCCGCACGCAGCCCCTCTCCCGGCGCCGCAGCCGCGCACACGACAGATTGAGCCGTGCCGGTGCCTCGGGGGGGGCTCAGGGGGGGACGGGGGGCTCGGCACGGCTCGGCTCAGCCCGGCACGGCTCGGCCCGGCTCGCCCAGGTGCGTCCCGGCGGGGCCAGGCACGGCGCCGGGCACTGGGAAGCGACCAAGCCAAAGGCAGCTGCGTTGCCCTTTTCCCTGCACTCCGCTCTCCAAACGTCTGAGCAACCAGTTTGCTGCTAGAAACATGTTAATTGCCAACGGAGCTCATTAAGGCATGCACATGCAAAACACAGCGAGGGAGATTAAATGGACAAAAGCGCAATAATGAACTGTCAACAATCGAACCCATCTACACGACCAGGAGCACTCAAGAATGAGGCATTTAGAGGCAACAAAGGATTGTCTGGGACAGGAAGAAAGGACGACCTAGACTTTTGTTTAGTCAACACAATTGATTACAAATGAGAGATTAACAGGATAGCTTCAGAGTTTTTTTGAAGGAGGCAGAAGAGAAAAGTCCAATTAAGTGCACCGAATGTTAACTACATTGATTTCCACGGCCAGCCCTAGAGAAATTCTCATTAAACCATCCCTGGCGATCCCTTTTGGAAAGTAATTTGTCTCCCTGATGGAGCAGAGAAAGGGAGCCGTGTAAAGAGAAAGAAGCGCTAGTTCTTGGCACAATGAGCTTAGGAGACACACTGGAAAGAGCCAAAGGGGGAGTTAATGAGCATCTGACAAGCCGCTTGGACCCGGGCCTGGAGAGCAGCGCTGAAAAGATGGAATTGGCCAACAACTATTCTTTATATCAAACATAAAAAGGCCAATCTGAAACAGGGCTGCTCAAAGCTGGTGGGGAAGAAAAGAAAGGCCCCCGCCGGGGGGGTGGGGGGAAAGAGGGAGCGGAGCGCAGGGGCTCAACTGCCCCGCCGGGCCGGGACAGGCGCTGCGGTGTGTCCGTGTCCCCCTGCCGCCGAGCGGGGCTGCCCGGCCCCGCGGCCCCCCGGGGCTGTTTGCACAGCCCGGGGCTGTCCCGGCCCCGGCCCGGCTTGGGGACACCGAGGCGGCCGAGCCGGGCCGGGTTTTGGGGGAGTTTTCCCGTGGAGGAAGCGCAGCGGGGCCGGCTCCTGCCGGGGCACCGCGCCCCCGACCCTCCCGTGTAGACACGGCTGGCCCGGGGGCTCTTAAATCAGCTTAGAGCTCGTTAATAACAATTTTGGCTTAAGTCTGTATTGACTTAGCCTTAGGAATGGCTTAGCACTTTCGCTTAAGTCAACACGCCGGCTGAATTGACACATGCCTGCCCCGGCCCAGGTGCCCTCCTCCTCCTGCTTCCAGCCGCGCTCCCCGGGCTTGTCAGCCCCGTGGGTCGCCCACCGGGGTCCCCTGGGGAGTGTCACCCCCCCGTGTTGCCCCCCGGCCCTTTACATTGCACCCCCAGCCCCTGGCACCTCTCTGCTCCCTCCCGCACCTCCAGTTCTCCTTCCCCGACAGGGCAGGGACCAAAACGCCGTCAAAGCGCGGAGAAAGGGAGGGCAGGTCCCAGAGCCCAGCATGGGGATGACAAACCCGAGCCACCACAAAACTTGACTTCTCTCCTGCCAAGTTTTGTCAGGCGGAGGCGAAGGGCAGGGAGCAGGGGCTACAGCCCCAAATCTCGCCCGTTTGTCCCTCCAGGTTTCGGTTTGGGGATGCGCACCGAGCAGCCGAGCCCCGTCCCCAAGTCCCGCGAGGTGCCCGGCACCCTCCTGCCGCCTCCCTCCCCGGCGCCAGTTGCCAAGCTATTTCACAGAAATAGAAGCTTTCTGGTTTATAATCAGCCTCTTCCTTCTGATTCATTATGGTAATGAATTGAGATATTACCAACATTGGATTATCGCGTAACTGAATGAATCCAGCAAAAGCAAGCTGATTACAGAGGAAAACGCCAACCGTACCCAGAAACTTAACAAAAAGAAACGTCCGAGAAATAGGGCAAAGCACCTCAAGCCGGTTCAGCTCACCCCAAACCCTGTTCCCAACTGATGGGGGGGGGATGCGACCGTCTCGTTCACACACCGCCCCTTTCCCCTGCGGATTTACGGGTAGGTTTTCCACCTTCCCGGTTACTACTAGGAATGTTTCTCAGGAGTCCAACTCCGCTTGCAAGGGTTTGCAGCTCACGCCGCCAGCCCGAGCGCCCCAAAACGACCCCCGTGTCCCTCTACGGCCGCGTGAGGCTCTGTGCCTCCAGAGCGACCCCATCCCAAAAACAGAAAACGACAAAGGGCTGCTCTTCCCCCTCCTTCCTCCCTGCCACACAGCCTGGGGCTGTCCTCACGCCGAGAGCCCGACCTGCAGCAGCTCTGTCCCCGCAGCATCCCGGCCTCCGGCAGCTCCCGCCGGGCACCGCTCGGAGCACGGGGGACACCTGAAACATAAATGGGCAAAGAAATGCTAAGCTGGAAACCGAAATTGCGTTTTCCAGCACCGCCGTGAGGCAGGTGCTAATTTACCGGGGCTTCAAGCTAGGTATTAGTCAAGGAGACTCTAATTTACTTACAGGACGGTGAAATTTTCTTTTTATTAATTTGCAATATATTTGTAAAATAATCTTACGGCAGCTGGCTCTGCTTGAATCTGTTTCAAAAGTGTGATGTAAATACCGTCTCACACTGTTCTGTAGCCTATTAGGGCTTTCTGGTAGGTGATACGACTGAGAGGAGAAAGAACACCACACATTTATTTTTAAGATCATCATCACTAGTGATAAAACTTATGGGAAGAAACGATCATACGTCCTATTTGTATGCAGTAATGACAAACGTATGCAAAGTAACTCAAACGAAAAAGATGCAGTTGGGAGGAAACATACACCGCAGATGCAGTTTAGGGCATTTTAAAGAGCTATTTCAACCATGTTTCTAAGAAGTAGCAAATTCCCAAATTAAATGACCCTATTTACTGCAAAGACAAAGAGCTCACCCAGCAGGAGAATTCCCCAAATAACCTTTCTTGCCCCCTTCTCCCTACCTACATTTCCTTTGCAAGGGCTTAAAATTTCTCTCTATCCATATCTTGCTAGTAATCACGTATTTGGAGTAATTTAGCACACGGTTATTGTGAAACAATAGGAAGAGCGCAAATAATCCGCCGAGGATTTATTACGTTTCAATTTTAAGCGATAAACTTCTGGGATTCTAATCTTCACTCAGCAGATTAATATTTCAGATCAGTGTCACAGGAAAATGACAAAAAATAAACAGCACACCTAAGCGAAGCAGCTACCACCGACAGACTCGCTGTCCACACACTTGGCTCCAGCGAGCACCAATTCACACACAACTTGTCCGTGCAATCTAACACCAAAATCCAAGAGTCGGTGAATATAAGATCAAAGCTTTATTTCAGCCGTAACACGTTATAGCAACGGATAATAATCCTTGAGCAAACAGAGTATTACAGTAATGAAGATCTTAGCATTACAAATATGTTAAAACAGCTTGCATTTGGGGTGGTATTTAAGGTCAAGTTGTATCTGAACACAACTATTAAAATATTATGAAACTTACCATTATGGAGTAAATAATGTTTTCTTTCAGACATAACCTCTCAAACTACATCCCATTTAATATTTTGTCTTATTTTTCAGTATCAACAAGCTCAAATTGAGCACCTACATCCCTGACTACACAATGTGAATGAATAAGGAAGGAGGAACCATAAACTCATCTTTAATCTAGCTCCCAACTCCTGTGAAAACATGACCTCGAATAAATGCATTCAAGAGGATACTCCAGTAAGTGTCAAATATCGTGTCTCTAAGCCCTTCTATTTCATATATACTCTCAAATGAAATTAATAGGCTTCAGAAAGATTCTGTGGAGTAAGAAATTTCTTATCCTTGGGAAAACTAACATGCCTTCTGCTACTGCCCCCACAGCCAGAATAACTGAGAAAGCAAAAGCTGGGGAATGTGACGGTAGAGGTGACAAGATGGGTGAACAGGCTGTGCTCCTAGGCTAGTACCGTGGTTACTCATCTGCGCATAAACCTAAAAAAGGGTGATTAATTAGCTCTTCTTCTAAGATACTCGAGCATTAACTTACATAAAGGCAAAGCCATTTATTTCCCCCCCTGCTCCTCTCTCAATTGCTTTCCCCCACCCACCAGGAGAGCACAACAAGCAAGAGGCAGGACCACTGCAGCTTATGCACACATACACACTTTAGCACAAAAGGGCAAGCAGCAAGTCAAGAATACAGAGTAACGGGTTATGTTATAAAGGAAAAAACATTTCCTACCCAGGAATGGGTAGGAAACTACATACGATTAAAAACAAACAAACTGGGACGAGGTGGGGGATAAC